GGCCACACTGCAATCCCTTCTCCATTCTCCTCTCGGGATCTTGGGCATGCACGCACATGCACCCCGTGTGAGTTTAAGCCACCGGACCTGGGACTTGAACTGCTGTGGGACTACATGGGAGTCCAGTGACAAAGCCATTACACCAACTGCTCGTCCCCCAGTAAGTAATTCTTAAAAAAAAAATAAATAAATAAAGATGCTGTCCTGGACCAATCCCAGGATGCAGTCGTCAAGTGCTATGCATAGGAAGCCAGATCCCACATGACTGACTGCAGTTCAAGTCCTACTCCTAGTGGCTTAAAAGGCACATTTGGCACATATTTGTGTGTGCCCCAAATCCTGGTGGGATGTAGAAATAGAGGAAAAAGGATTGTGGTGTGACCACACCCTGCTGAGCGGGGAGGCTTTCTCTCCCTCTCCCTCTTCCTTTCTGTTTCTCTCTCCCTCTCTGGCAATCACAGACACACACCCTGACAATTAAAAAAATTGTCTTATAAGGGGTTTTCCATTTACCTGTTTCTGAGGTTTCTGTCTTTATTTTAAAAGTTGATAAATTAAAACACCTTTGCCCCACTACAGCCCCCATCTAAAGAGGGGCAGTCAATAAAATAAGTTCATCAAGAACATAGAACTTAGGGATCAGCTGTTAGTGTAATGGCTATGTCGCTGGACTCCCAAGTAGTCAACCGCGGTTCGAGTCCTGGACCCAGTGACTTAAACTCATGCCGGGCGCGTGTGCATGCTTGCCTGAGAGTGGAATGGAGGAGAAGGGACTGCAGTGTGGCCATCCCTCCTAGGGGAGTGATTTCTTGCTTTCTGTTTCTCTGTGGCGAAAACTCTTTCTGTTTCTCTGTGGCGAAAACCTCTCGGGGGGGGGGGGGAATGTAGAACTTAAATTCAAAACAATACATACTTTCACTGGTATGAATAACAAAAACCAAGTGTGTTTTGCTTCATGGATACAATCCATGAATTGGTATTTATTTGGTATATATTTCTTGATAGGGGGTCATGCCACATTCTCACGCTTCTTCCCAACCTTTCAGTCAGCCAGTATCATGTGAGTACCCAGCACATACATGTCAACCCAAGAACCAAACCCTGATCTTCTATGTGGGTTCCAGCATTGCAGAGCTTTGCGCTGCCGTTGTACTGCAGAAGCTCAGTTAGTGTCTTTAATTTTTACGTTCTTATCCCTTTATTGACTTTTGAAATTTCTACCACTGTGTTTTTAATTTCTAAGAGCTCCTTCTTATTCTCAGATATATTTTTTAGAAGTTTATTTTATTTACTTCTTCCATGAAGGAGGCAGAAAGACAAGACACCTCCAATAAGGTCTTCATACCATGATGCACTCCCAACCTCAGCCAGCCCCGTGCACTCATGGATCTGACATGTTCAGAGTTTCCTTTTTTTTTTTTTTTTGGAGAGGTTTTTGCTATAGGACGTGTGCACTCGCCAGACAGACAGAGAGAGACATAGAGACAGAAAGCAAGAAATCACCCCCCTGGAGGGATGGCCACACTGCAGTCCCTTCTCCTCTTGGGATCTTGGGCACGCATGCACACGCACCCAGCGTGAGTTTTAAGCCACCGGGTCCGGGACTCGAACTGTGGTCAACTACATGGGAGTCCAGCGACATAGCCATTATGCTAACTGCTGGTCCCATGTTCAGAGTTTCCAAATGTTAACCTGGAACCTTCCTATGTGGCTCAGCCTCACAGTGTTGAGTTTTAGTTGCACTACCATCTGGGATTCTGCTTCTCTTTTCTTATATTTTTAATGCTTTACACTATTTAAGTAGGAGTTTGAGAGGGACTAGCAGCAAATCTATGTACTCCACCTGTTGTATTTAGTGGAATTGCTATTCCTTGTATAAATTTAAAAACTCCTAGAGTAGTACCTGCTCTTTGAAAAATAATTATACAATACTGATAAAGGAGAAAATCTTGGTCCTTCCACCTAGATATAACTTTGGGAAGTGAGCTTCTCTCTCATTTGTCCCATGTGTTCACATCTGTCAGTGTGTAAACAAGATCAGATCTTTACTTTCTGCTTCCTCAACTTCAATTTTCCACCATGTCCCTTTGGGTTTGGTTTCTCCCCTCCTTGTTTCTCCCTTCTCCATTATGTCTTGTATTGTTGTTTAGAGGTCTGAAGGACATCCCTCTGTGTCCTTCATCTTGCCAGGTTTGCCTTTCTCCCTTGCTCTCTCCAGTTCTTGCCCTGAGCAGCCATGAGTGGCCCGCTGTGTGAGCACATGTCTGATCCTTACTATAACCCTGTGAGGTGGACACCGGCTACCCTATTGCAAAGACAGACGTTGAAGGCCAGAACTAGGTTGGCTAGTTAGGGGATGCCTGGACCTTACCCACTCCTTGTCCCTGGTGCCTGAGCCCCTCTCACTTAGCCTGTGCGCTCTCAATAACTGGCTCAGTCCTCACATTTAGCCTGCCTTCACGGCCCTGTTCCTCAGAGCTTGAAAACCTGCTCTCTCTTGCCTGGGCTGGTAAGAAACAACCACCCTCGTAGTCAACTGGGCCCCTCCATTATTTCCCCCTCCATACTTGGCTGTCAACCCTGTTCAGCCAACTGTTTCCTCTAGAGTCTTTTTTAAGGGTTTTGCCATAGGGCGTGTGTGCTTCCTGGAGAGAGACAAAGACAGAGAGAGGGAAATTGAGAAATCACCTGCAGGGGGCATGGCCACACTGCAGCCCCTTTTCTTCTCAGGGTTTTGGGCGTACACGCACACATGCCTAGCGTGATTTTCAAGTCGCCAGGTCCAGGACTTGTGGGAGGCCAGCGCCTTAACTACCATGCCACCTGCTGGCTACTCCTCTTGAGTCTTGAACCCAGGCCCCTTCCAGCTGATCACAGTGACTACCTGGCATGGGTCCAGTGCTGGGGCCTCCTCTGCACCTGGAGCCAGTCACATGTGAGCAAGAGAAGAGAGAGCGTACCAGCTGGCTTCAACTGAATGCCTCCTGTGTGCCAGGCACCCTCATTTTATACACACTGACCCCCTTGTCCTCACAAAAGCCTGGGTGTGGGCAGCCGCCCCTACCCCTATGTTCAGATGAAAACACCCAGACACAGAGAGGTCAGGTCATTTGCCTGACATAGGGAGGGCCTGTTCTAAAGTAGTTGGTACCAGGATGCTCCCAGGATTCCCAGGTGCCCCCTGATGTGGGGCAGAGCACCAGGCCTTATTGCAGTGCTGCTGTTGAGGCCTCTGTCCTGGGCCGGTGGCCAGGTGTGCCTTTCCTGGGTGGGCTATCACCCACACCTTGCTTGCCACATGCCAAAGAGGGAGCACAATGATGTCATTATTTGATTACACAAAGGATTATCTGATAATTTTATCAAATAAAAAGTACCTTATTCACAGATATTGGTATTTTCCTTTGTAAAAAAAAAAATTACCAGAGGGCATGGATAGTCATCGGAGACAGACAGAGAAGCATAGAGCTAGGGAAAGTGAGAAAGCACTCCTTCCCTAGTTGGGCACAGTCATGCACAATACCTTATCCATCTCTTCCTCCTTTTGGGGTTTTGGTCCTGCATATGCACATGTGCCTGATGGGATTTTCAAGCCTCTGGATCTGGGACTGCCTTAACCACCACACTACCAGCTGGTATTTCTTAATATGAAACTACTTGAAGAATGGCTCACAACTAATGCTGCATTGTAAGCTGCTGATTTGGTATTTCTCCAGTCTAGGAGCAAGTTGGGTCTATTTATTTATTTATTTATTTATTTATTTTTTACATTAATTCACTATACATCATTATAGTATACAAAATGAATTTTCCATCCAAAATACACTGTCTATTGGCGCAGTCAATCACATCAACATACATATTATCAACAAGTTGAGTCTATATTGTTATGAAGGGGCAATGGCATGGAGAGGACAGAAAAGGCAGGTTTCTGGTGGAGAAGGGAATGACATGATGGTGAATTCGACCTCATTGACTTGGTGTGGCTAGGGACTGAGACTTGGCAAGTGAGTGTGGAATTGGAGAGAGGAGGTGCCAGAAGACTGAGGAAGGTTATTTAGAGAATGGAAACAGATAAGAAAGTGTAGAATATCAGAGTACAGAGTGTGAGGAGCCTAGAAAAAGGTATGTTAAAAACTTTCAAGCATGGAGCCAGCAGATAGTATAGTATTTAGGGTGCTGGATCCTACAACTGACTCCATAGTTCAAGTCCCAGGCCCAGTGGCTTGAAAAACATGCCAGGCACATGTGTGTGTATTTGCCCAAAATCCTGAGTGGAAAATGGAGGAGAGGTGATTATGGCATGACTATCTACCCTGAGGGTGATTTCTCCCTCTCATCCCTTTCTCTCTCCAGTGAGCACACACACCCTATAGCAAGGGGGGAAAAAAAACCCTAAAAAATAACTAAGTACATGTTTAAAGCCAAAACAAACGAAAAACTTTGAGCTGAGGCCACATGATTCCTGGCCCGCCCTAAAAGCTGGATATGGTGGCACACTCCTGTAATCTCTTCTACTTGTGTGACTGAGGTAGGAGAATTACAACATAGTGAAATCCTGTCAAAAACAAAAACAGGGCCAGCAGGTGGGCACTGGATTCCACGTGGCCTACTGTGCCATTTGAGTCTTAGACTTGGTGACTTGAAATGTGTGCACGTGTGCCCAAAATCCTGAGAGGAGAATGGAGGAGGAGGGATTGTGGCAAGGCCATCCACCCCGCGGGGTGATTTTTCACTTTCTCTCTCTTTCTCTTTGGCAAATACACATGCCCTATAGCAAAAACAAAACAAAACAAAATACTGCAAAACCTTTGAGTGTCTAGTTGTCAAAAATGCTAGTTGGTTGCAGAATAATCATGTTTTTATTCTGTTCTGAGGTCTGTCCAGTGTTTTGTTCTTAGCACATGGGTCTGCTTCCTAATACACAGATTTTTTAGGCAGTTTCCTGAGTGTGGAGAAGTCTGATTTCACCTCCAGTTGCTTGGACTGTGCCCTTTTAGATACCCAAACACAGCCTGTGAGCTTCTGACTTGTGATGTGCCACAGATCAGCGACAGACTAGGCGGGGACGAGAGCCTGCTGAGCCTTCTATATGACTTCTTGGACCGCGAGCCACCTCTCAATCCTCTGCTTGCCAGTTTTTTCAGCAAGACCATTGGCAACCTCATTGCAAGAAAAACCGAACAGGTAAATAATGCGCAAAGCCCACATGGTTTCAGACAGCTGTCAGCTGTTGCAGTGCAACCTGTCATCAGGTAGGGACAGTGTTTTCGAATGTTCCATGGGACACGAGTGGGACTGATATGTGAGCTGGAATTTGGATAAGAACCAGCTTCCCCGGTAGTGCTTCTGATGGCCAACTCTGGAATATGTAGCAGTTCCACTGTCCCTGGGTCTGCCCAGGATTCCAAACTTGGCCAGTTTGTCCTGTTATTGCACAGACACAGGCATGTAGGTCTGGAATGTACCTTTATCACAGCACAACCTTGGACATCCACCATCTAAAGTCTGCTGCTTCATCTCTATGGGTGGCATGTGTCTGTGTATCCAGGACAAATGCTACATTTAAAAGTAAATGTAGGAGGGACCAGCAAGTGGTGTGGTGGTTAGGGCGCTGGACACTCCCATGGTTCAAATCCCAGACCTGGTGGCTTGCTTGCTCTCTCTCTCTCTCTCTCTCT